CGACGGGGGGTATGCAGAGCGGTACGTCAGTAGCATTTTTGCTAGCACGTTTGTATTGCACCTCGCACTACATCAATACTGACAGTTGTCGGGGGGTGGGGGCGTGGAGGACGGAGTCACGTCTGAGTTGCCCGCCTGCTAGCTTAGCGCTATGTTACTGCTGGTTTTTATCGACGGGGGGTATGCAGAGCGGTACGTCAGTAGCATTTTTGCTAGCATGTTTGTATTGCACCTCGCACTACATCAATACTAGAGCTGCTGCCTCTCAGCGAGCAGGTCCCTGGTTCAAACCCCGGTCCAGGGGCCCTTCTGGGTGGAGTTTGCATGTTCTCTCCGTGCATGCGTGGGTTTTCTCCGGGTACTCCGGTTTCCTCCCACAGTCCAAAAACATGCATGTTAGGCTGATTGGTAACTCTAAATTGTCCCTAGGTGTGAGTGAGAGAGTGAATGTTTGTTTGTCTCGTTTGTCTCTATGTGGCCCTGTGATGGACTTGCGACCCGTTCAGGGTGTACCCCGCCCCTCGCACAGTGATTGCTGGACATGGGCACCAGCGACCCCCGTGACCCAAAATGGAATAAGCGGGTAAAGAAAATGGATGGATGGACTACATCAATACCGACAGTTGTCGGGGGGTGGGGGCGTGGAGGACGGAGTCACGTCTGAGTTGCCCACCTGCTAGCTTAGCGCTACGTTACTGCTGGTTTTTATCAATGGGGCGGTACGGAGCGGTACGTCAGTAGCATTTTTGCTAGCATGTTTGTATTGTGCCCCACGCTACATCAATACCGAGCGTTGTTGTTATTGTTGGTGGTGGTGGGGGGGGTGTTGGTTCTGTTGATGGGGCGCGGCGCCCTGCTTGTATAATAGTTGGGGAAATACTGTACTTAGCTAAAATCTGTTGTACTAGCTGAGAATCTACTACTAGCCTAAGTGCTATGTGTTGCATTACATCTTTGCTTAAGACTTTGACATGAACTGTTGGTTCTGTTTGTCTGTTAGCAAAATATTTCATGTACCAGTGGATGGATTTTAATGATGCACAAGGAGAGTAATCATTAGTACCTTTACCGTTTGACTGACTTTTGGAGTGAACCAAATTCAAAATGGCCACCCAATACAGCTCCTGGACCTTAGCCAACATGAAAATGGCTACAGCTCAGTCAGATTTACAGTTATTACTCTGAGGTTTGATGTGGTAGTAGCTGAGAGTCTCTTCTTAATGTGAGGGAAGTCACGTGAAGGATCTGGCATTTATTTTGTGCCGGCTGCCCTGACGTAACCTGGGATTAGCAGTCTCAGGATTACCGCCAAGCTATGTCTGCAACAAAACCAGGGTTGGCAGTGGTGGGATTCGAACCCACGTCCCCGAAGAGACTGGAGCCTAAATCCAGCGCCTTAGACCGCTCGGCCACACTACCGCACACCTTCCTGAGTTAAAAATAGTGTAATCGTTGTAAACTGGATATAGTTATGAATGTATTTTTGTTTTTGTGCGTGCAGGAGACCCTGATCCGGTTCGTAAAGAGTCTGTGATGAGGAAGACGGCTCAGTACCTGAAACACGTCGAGATGCTGATCCACAGGCACTCATCCCCCCGTCACACAGCTACACACTCGCATACACAAGACCCGTAGACACACACATTCAGACGAAACGGCACAAAAATATTCCTGCAGTAATTTGTAATCTGAGGTGGACACTACTGCACACCGGTACTTTGGGTATTTTTGTTACGTACTAAAGACACACAACCTACAAAATATGAAGAAATGTCTTTACTTTACATTCCTTTTGTAATGTATTGATTTTGAATCAAAAATGTGTTTATATATATCAGTGATTTGCATTTTGCACAGTGTTTTGTTAATAAATGCGATTTTAATTTAAGATGATTATAAGTGGTTTGTCGTGTTTTGGACGAGCAGCTTGTTGCAAATGAAGCTTTAACAAAAGGTCATCAGAACAAACTTTTCTGTTTCTAACACGTTGCTGCAGCTTTTTCGTTTTTTTGTCACACGGCAGTCCAGGAACCGCAGGTATTTTTCTGATTTGAGGGAGCTTTGCAAAGCAAACTAGAGACATTGCATTTCCTGTGAAAATTCAGTGTGGATGCTTATTGCAGAATAACTTGCTGAAAAACAGCTGAAATGTAGCTGATGGAAGAACAAGCCTAAATTACCAGAAGAAAGCAGAAAGAACATGTTTGCTAAATTAGGTTTAAATAAACAAAAATTAGGAAATTAACTTAAAAAAAGATTAAATTAGCAACAAAAAAAAATCTAAAAGGCAGAAAGAAGCTTAAACTACCAGAAGGAAGTGGAAAGAGCTGAAATGAGCTAAAAATGTGAAATTATATGAAAAGCTAAAATTAGCATAAAACAGCTAAATAGTAGCTGAAATAACCAATGTTAGCAGAAATGAGCTGAAAGGAGCATAATGAGCAGAAATTAATAAAAAATAATTTAATTAGGTTGAAAGTAGCAAAAATTACCAAAACAAGCTTAAATTAGCATAAAAAAAGCAGAAAGAATGTTTGCCCAATAACGTTGAAAGAAGCAGAAATTAGCACAAAGAAGTGGAAATTTTCTGGGGAAAAAAGCTGAACTTTGCCAAAATAGCTGAAAAGTAGCTAAAAAGGCAGAATGAAGTTTAAATAACCAGAATGAAGTGGAGAGAGCACATTTTTGCTGAATTAGGCTGAAAAAAGTAGAAATTTGTACAAAAAAATGTAGAATTAGCTGCAAAGGCTAAAACTTAACAAAACGGCTAAATAGTAGCTGACTTTTTTTTTACTTGCACAAAGAAGCTGAAGCAGATCAAAATGTGAAAGGAGCAGTAAAAGGTTGTAAACGGATCTAAAGATTTGAAGGATGTAAAATGAGCTCAATTCATTTTTTATGAGGGGGAAAAAAAGACAGAAAAGGCTAAATATTTTTAAAAATTTGCTAAAGTTGCACCAATACCAAACGTCAGCAGGATTGTCCAGAAAGAGCCGAACGTTTTGATATACTTGTTGAAATAGCACAAGAATTGTGGAACGAGAAGGCTGTTGAAAAATGGATCACAATAGTGTGAATGCTTCATAAACATTCACACTATAAAAACTAAGTGGGAGAAATTATCCAAACCCTGGATTTAGCTGTAGAGTGTAGTGAGGCGACATCTTGCTTTTAATATGCGCTCATTCTAAATGTAATTTAAAATCCAAAGTGACGATTTCAGCAACATAAAAAAAAAATGTCTGAACAGGAACAGCTAAAACCAGAGAAGTTCTATAAAACTCAGGCGGAAGACATTCAGGCAGGTTTGCCTAAAAGGCAGACGTGTTTCTATAAAATGAGCATCTTAGATGGGAAGAGTCTTTTAAAAGAACAAAGATCTGGAGGAGTTTTAACTCCCCTGCTGCCCTGGAGTCAGAACGACCCAGGAAGCCTCAGTCTTAACGCTGAGAGCTCCTATTTTGATCCAAGGGCAGCTGGAGGTTAAATCAGTTATAGTAAGCTTAGTACCAGATTATCTTGGTTCCCAACACTGGTCCTTGAGGAACACCATTCTGCATGTTTTAG